ATGTTTTTCTCTCACAATAAAATCAGCCGGAACAGTGTTTCGGTTTGTTTTTTTAGCGAAGCGAACGGAGCCTATCTCTAAATAAATTTATTAAAAAACTAGATTCATATATATATCAATAATACTAATTATGTATCATAAATATTAATATTTTTTAATATATATTTAGTCAAAGTTGTTTTTGGAGAAGCGAAAACGATAGACATTTGTGGACGGAGGGAGTATATATTAGTTTGCAATGTGATTAATGGGGAGCGTGTGCACGCGGACCTACAGTGTATGCTTGGTATGCCAATACCCTGCAGTCCAGCCGTAATACAACGTAGTATTACTATGTAAAAAACAAAAAAAAATATCTGTTCAATCGATGCCTCACACCCGCACACTCCCCTGTCTGTTCACTGGAAGCTTCGGCTTCCGCGCAGCACGCGTGCGTAGTGCAGTTCCATCACGCGAAGGCTGGCCTAGGGATATTGACACGGATAAGCAGATGGGTTTAAAATTTAATCTTCTTATTTTTCTAAGTAACTTATGTACTTTTTTTTTTTGCGAAAGAGATAACTTTATTTAAAATTAAGTAATATCCTTACAAGAGAGGGACACAACCCACTCCGGAAAACAAGCAAAAAAAACACAGACTCTCTGTAGACCTAAACACAAAACGCGCCAACTCATGCGCCATATTATTCTGATCCCTACTAATCTTGATGACCTCCAGCTGACACAACTGACTGCCAGCGTCATGCAACTTCGCGAAAACTTGCCACAGAGCAGATCGATCATGACCCTTGGTATGAAAAAAAACACAGACCACCGTTTGGCAATCAGATTCCAAAATCATCGGAATTTCTGGCCATCTCATTGCCATGTGAACACCCTCTAGGCATGCTACAGCTTCAGCCTCCTCTGCATCTTGCAATGAGATAAAATGTGCCAGGTAGTTAGTTTCAAAGAGACCTTCCAATCTCGGATCACGACTCCCACTGCAGCATCTCCAGATAACTGATTAAAAGCAGCATCAACATTAATCTTGAAGGTACCCTGCGGTGGTGGCACCCAATACTTTGTCCTCTGAATTGCTGGTTGTCTCTGAACATTACCGGCAACAAACTCCGCACAACGCTTCCCTTTTGAATCCATGCATTCACCTTGTTGTCGGATATTAGTCAGGGAAGTCATATACCTGGTTAGGAAGGTGACCGAGCTGGCTATAAAAGGACAGATATCCTCGTGGATCACCTTATTTCGTATACTCCAAGTATGCCAAAAGAGCATGAAGACATTTGTCAATACCTCCAAAGACTTATTGTGTATCAGCATCATCAACCTGTCTGGATCAGCCTTGGTTAAATCCTGCTCTGACGGTAACACCCAGTGCTCCCTCATAGCCTGTCGCAGAGCCAAAGCATGCGGACAAGCCACCAAAGCATGGTAAACATCTTCAGCATGTTGCCCACATAGCTGACAAACATTCTGTTGCTCAAGATGGCGATATTTCTTATTAACACGAGTAGGCAGTCCATTGTTAGCGGCCTTCATAGCGAAAACACTAACCTTGGATGGTACATGAACCTGCCACAATTTCTTCCACCCAGCCCGGCCTTGATCAGAATTGGAACTGCTTCCAACCTTACCAGCTCCATAGAAATTCCAGACAGCTAGCCTGTACGCACTCCGAACAGAAAAAATGCCCGTTTTCTCGTAATGCCAGGCCACAAAATCCGCAGTCTCCTGCTCAGGCAACTTAATTTTAAAAATATCAGCAACATCACAAGGAAAAAAATACCTTCGAATGGCTGTTTCATCCCAAGATCCACTGTCATCGATGAGATGGTGGACCCATTGGAGCCGACAAGAACGCCTAGGACCAATCGGCTTCAGGCCATACCCTCTTGGCAGCCAGTTATCCTGCCAAATCTGAGTGGATTTTCCATCGCCAATCCGGTGAATAACGCCCTGCTTCAGCAGCTCCAACCCATATTCAATAGCTCGCCACGTCTGTGATGCATCACCGGCCGGAGCCCAATCCAACAGTTTACTGTTAGGGTAGTATTTAGCTTTCAGCACCCTTGCACAGAGACTATCATGAAAAGCCACAAGTCTCCAAGCCTGTCGAGCAAGCAACGCCTGATTCATCAGCCGAAGGTCCTTGAAACCCATACCACCAAAACCCTTCGGCAGCACCAACTTCTCCCATGGAATCCATTGCAGCTTCCTTCGGCCCTTCTCAGCACCCCACCAGAAAGCACGAATCTGCATCATGAGCTCATCACATAGGGTCAGAGGAAGCTTAAAAACACTCATAATATAAACTGGCAAAGCCTGAGCACCCAATTTGATCAACACCTCCTTTCCTGCTGCAGATAAATATTTTTCCTTCCATGCAACCATTCTCTTATGGAACCGCTCCTCAAGAGGTTGAAACAGCCCTCTTTGAACCCGACCATTTGGAGTTGGCAGGCCCAAATACTTGGCCTCAAAATCAACTCTCTCCACTCCTAGAACTGAACGCACTTGGTTAGAGACATCCTGATCCAGATTTTTATTTACCAGCAGTGAGCATTTGTTAGGACTTAGCAATTGTCCAGAGCACTTCTCAAAAGTGGAAATCACCGATTTGACAACATGGGCCTGCTCCACAGTTGCTTTGAAGAATAATAAGCTATCATCCGCAAACAAAAGATGAGACACATTCGGTGCCCTCCGACAAACTTTCAAACCATCAATATCACCGAGCCCTTCATTATGCTTCAATAAGGTAGACAGACCGTCAGCAACTAACAAGAACAAATATGTTGAAAGCGGATCACCTTGTCGTAGACCACGTGATGGGGAGGAGTGCGAAGGCACCCCATTGAAGCGTACTGAGTAGCGTACAGTCGAAACACAAGTCATGATCCACTGCACTCACTGACTCTGAAAGCCCAGCTTCTCCAACAACCTTTTTAAAAATCCCCAATCAACCCGATCATACGCCTTCAATCAGCCCCGTATATCAGTAGGTGCAAAGTGTGCACCTGTTCTGGGCCTCCAAATTTCTAGGGCCACCAAATTTAGTACACATATAGTCCATCAGCCCATCAGCCCATAAAACTTGGCAGGCCATCGGACTCCTTCCCCATAGTCCATAGCCCATACGTAGTTACGTACGCATATAGGCCTGGAAGTCGGCACTCGGCAGCGACGTTTGCCGCAATCCTTTCATCGTTGCGCCGCTGCAGCTGGAGCTGCTAGACCTAGACGCGGCTGTTCGGCACGGCATCGCTGGCTCGCGCCTCACGGCGATCACGATTCACAGATCACGCAAAGATCGGCATCGCCAAGAAGCAGCTGTCATCCGCTGGCGCCGAGAACCAACACCAACACGTCGCCATCGGCAGCTCGGTAGTCGGTACGCACACAAATTTCATCCCCAATTGTGTACAGGAGATTTCAGATTTGCATTATAATTAGGGAATTTCACAGGAGATTTCAGATTTGCATCATGTCTTCAAGAAATAGGAGGTTTGAATCTGGTCATGAAAAACGTAAGAAGAAACAGAGATTAGAAGCAGCAGCTCAAACTCAAAGGGGTGCTCTTGATAGATATGTTTTGAAAGATTCTCAGTTACCGTTGCATCTGCGGAAAGAAGCTTTTCTAAACTCAAGTTATTGAAGTCCTACTTGCGATGTGCAATGACACAAGAAAGACTCAATGGGTTGGCAACAATAGCACTTGAAAATGATATCTTGGAGACGATCAAGTATGAAGATATAATTAAAGACTTCATTTCGAAGAATACTAGGAGAATGATGCTTTTCAGTAGAAACTAGAATATAAGGTCAGTTTGTTGCTTAAGTACTTTTGTATTGTTTTAGCATCAAGATTTGATATGTTCTAAGTATTGTAAGAACAACGTATATTTAAAACTTTATAATAAAGTAAAATTATGCTTTTGTTATATTATTTTCTTATAGATTTTAGGGCCACATCACGAGTTTCATTCAGGGTCTTCCAAATCGTAGGTACGGCCCTGCTTCAATAAATCCAGCTTATACCCACAAAAATTCTTGCCACTGCCTCTATGAATAGCATGAATGCATTCAAAAGCGATCAAAGCATTATCCGTGATAAGCCTCTCTGGAACAAACGCACTCTGCTCCAATGATATGATACTGTCCAATATGGGTCTAAGTCGATTCACCAAGCACTTAGAGATCACCTTATATATCACGTTGCACAAACTAATCAGCCTGAAGTCTTTGAGTTCCACTGAGTCTGACCCTTTAGGAATAAGCACAAAAGATGTGTCATTGACTCCAGGGGGCAAATAACCATCCGAAAGAAGCCCTGTACTGCTACAACCACATCATCTTTAACCACCTCCCAATGCCTCTGGAAGAACCGAGCTGGAAAACCGTCAGGCCCGGGGGGCTTTGAGCGGCCCCATCTGAAACAAAGCATCTGATATCTCCTCTGGTGAGAAGGCTCGGCATAAATCCTCATTCATATCTGCAGAAATCTTCGGCTCAATAAGGTGTATGAGATCATCCGGTTCCACACTCAAATCAGCCGTATATAAATCAGTGAAAAATTCAGTCGCCATCTTCTGCATTTGCTTTGGATTGTCACACCAATCTCCATTTGAGTCCTTTAGCTTTTTTATTTTATTTTTGCGTGCACGCCAGACAGCCTGTCTATGGAAATAGCTTGTATTTTGGTCACCTTCTTTCAACCAGGCAATCCGGGAACGTTGTAACCACATCATCTCCTCTCTATACAATAGTTCATCCATACGATCAGTAGTCCAACGCATATCGGACAAGCTGCACAGTGGATCAGATTTTGCCTCTTCCAACTTCACCCGCAGCTCCTCCAATTCTGTAGTAACACTACCAAAAGTGTTCCTGCTCCATGAGTGCAAAGCGACTTGAACGTGTTTCAACGCAGCTACCACGCCCCCCAAACCTTCTCTACTCGGATCAGTGCACCAAGCTGTCTTGATTTCTGCGGCAAGGGACTACAGACGTTCCCACATAATTTCATACCGGAAGATCCTTGGTTTGTGGCGTTCCCAGCTTTCCTTTCGAATTTCTAGAAAAAGAGGACAATGGTCCGACCGAGAAGAAACTAGATGATAAAGCACTGTATTGGCAAATAGATCCCTCCACTCAGAACACGCAACTGCTCTGTCCAATCTGACCTTTACATTGTCACCACCATCACGCCCGTTGTCGTAAGTGTAGGGGAGGCCAGAGAACCCCAAGTCCGTGAGCCCACAATCAGCCAGAACGTCACGGAAGGCCACCATTTGTCGCTCCGGCCTAGGACACGCCGAGAAGTGTTCATAGCCCCACATTGCCTCATTAAAGTCACCAATAGCCAGCCATGGCTCCGGTGATCTGCCATGTAACATGTCGCTGATCAGTACGCGGTTCACCATATACAAACGTGATGCGCATCCTGACCGCCGAAGGGTTTTCCTTGACATGAACATCTATATATCTCTGGTGTTTTTCGATCAGAGAGACATCCACTGACTCATGCCAGAAGAGAGCTAAGCCACCACCTGTACCCACACTATCCACAGTAATGCAATGTTTCAAACCCAACCTCCATCTCAAATTTGCAACACGACTACCTTTCATACGAGTCTCGGAAAGAAAAACCAACATTGGACTTTTTGCTCTCACAAGAGCCACAAGCTCTTGAACTGTCCGAGAGAGTCCCAACCCCCGGCAGTTCCAGCGGAAGAGATTCATTGCTCCTGACGGGCCTCGCCATGAGGACCCATCAGGTTGATAGACAGCTGATCACCATCATCCTTCTTACTGCGTTTACTAACACCTTCATCGACAAAAGAATTTGCACTAAGGTCTTGATTCAACAGGTTAATCTCCACATCACGGCGCTTACCAAGGATACCCAAATTAGTTTTCAGGATCGCAGCATTTTGCTGCACAATATCACGAAGCTCCGGCTCCAGATTATTACCAGGACAAACAGCGACAAACCGAGCAGTTTCACCCTCAGACATTGCAGGAAACTCAGCACGAACTTTCCTGACTTCCTCTGAAACAGAGCCTAAAACTCCAGCCTGCATATTAGCGATGCCCACCGGCACATGCACATTGTCGGACGGCCTACAGTGTTTAGACTTGAATTTCCTTTTGGTTCTCGAGCTCGTCGAATCAGCAAACCGCTCATCCCACTCACGCGCGACCCCAAGGGTCTCTTCTGCCACCGCCTTGTGTAACACAGACTGGACAGGTGGTTGAGCTGCAAGCTTCTTTGTAAGAAGGTAGAACGGTATCTTCCTGAACTCCACCCACATAAGAGCTGATGATGGATCGGCACCGGCTGCTATCCCCTCCACAAGGAGAGCATCCCCCTTGTACTGCCGTGGGCCTCCTAGAACGGCATGCCTCCAATCGCCTTCCTCGGTGAAGTCGAGGATAAATTTTTTGCCCGCCTCCGACTCGATCGAACTCGCTTCCATGTCTCCCTTTATTTTCCATACTCTCTTCATGTGATCGATCAGCTGCCTTGAGTTTACCAGCAGCACCGAGAGGAACAGGCCAACCGCCAGGAAGCGGGGGCGCAAGGCCTCATGTGCCCTAGTCATGTCAATGACTAGAGCGCTGTTTTCTTCATGTTTGCTTGACTTCGCCACTTCCTTCCCAGCTCGCCTCTGGTAGCCGTCAGCGTGGCTTCCCTGAACATCTCCCAGGATGGAGGTCTTCTTCACAGCAGCAAGGGCGACAGATCCTTGGTTGCCATTTGTCGTCATTGGACCAAACGTCGAACACCTTGAGTGCAAGGTGTGGAGGTGGTTTGTTTGCTGGGCTACAATTGGGTGAGGATGCTCACCACACTCTGCTCCTTTTAAGGATCTCTCCTGAGTCCTATAACTGGCTTCTTCGTTCTCCAAATTACTATATGTAAATACCTGTAGCTCCATCTTCTCATGCAGCATCGTGGCCGGAATTTCCTCCTGCTCTTCATGATTTCTTTTAACTATGGCATTACGGGAGGTAATAGATACGGTGGGATCTGGGTCTGGTGGCTTCTTGTAGATCTCAGCTAAGACACGATTAGACTTGCTCTTCAGGATGGCTAAGTTGTCTTTCAAGATTTGTAGGCGGTGTACGAGGTTAAATCCTATTGATTCCATCGATCCTAGTACAAAACAGGGTTCTATTTTGGTTTTTTTGTAGGATTAGGCTGGGTTCGGATGGCTTCAGCGTGGGATTTCTGTGGGTTTCTTCTGGGAATCGATTTCGTGGTGGGATTCTCTGATCACCTCCGAGGGGATACGAGAGACGAACAGTCGCTGGCATCTCAAACGTCTGCAACTTATGTACTTAATTAATTAATTAATTATATATCTGTAATTTATTTGCGTATCTACGAGACTATCGAGATCACAGTCCTCCTAGAGGCTGCTCCTTCCCTGCGCGCCCCCTCCCTTTGTTTTGGGCTTGGTTCCTTTGGCCCTCTTTGGTCCTGTTTAGTTCCACTTTGTTTTGCCAAATTTTTTAAAATTTTTCGTCACATCGAATCTTTAGACGCATGCATGAATCATTAAATATAAATAAAAAATAAAACTAATTACACAGTTTAGACGAAATCCACGAGACGAATCTTTTAAGCCTAATTAGACTATGATTGGACACTAATTGCCAAATAACAACGAAAATGTTACAGTGCTTATTTTGTAAAAAAAATTGCATCTAAACTGGGCCTTGGTTTAATTTAAGTTTTCAGTAGGGGCTCCTTGCCCCTCCTGTTTCTTCAAAAAAAAAACTATCGAGATCACTAGATTAGGGATCAGTTCGTATAAATATTTAATTCATCCGATATTAGTATATTAGTATCAGATGTTTAGCCAGTCACAGTGTGGTTTTATGAGTTTTATCTGCATTTAATAGACTGTCATAGGCACTTTTGATGATATGACAACGTTTTTAAGGAGATAGAAAAGAAATGAGTTTCATCTGGATGATAATCTCTTGATATGATCACACTCTTCGTGAGTCATGAAATTAAATTTTTATTGAGAGTGAGCTTTTCATCCATATTTTTTTAAGTGGATAGAGATAACATAATCGAGACTATCATCTCCTATAAAAAGTGGCAACTAAAAAGGCAAGTAGTATACTAAGTCTCCTTTTTGCCTATATTTTGAATTATTAGTATTGCAATTCAAGTATTTATATTGTAATTCATTGTAGTTTCCAGTTTAATATTTGAATTTAGGACCTATCATGTTATTTAGTCCTTTTTACCGAATTTTATTGTAAATTTACTATTATTTACAGATATTTACGGAATAAATAAATGATTTTACCAAATCGTATATGAAAAATTTTGTGTGGCATACCCTATGATTAAATCCTAGGTCCGCCACGGCGTGTGTGAATACAAACGTTCTATTTTTTTTATGATGTGGCTTATACTTATGTCAACAGTTACACACTATTCATCTAAACAGTCGTTTGATGTGTTTAAAGATCTAAACAGAAAATTGAGGCCACCCATGACATTTAGGCCCTAAACGGTGAATTAAACAGTTGGACTGTTTGAACAGTTAAAACGTATCTAAGCTATTTAAACTGAATCATGTTAAATGAGATTAAATGAGCTAAATGATCATTTAATCCATAATTTAGTTGATAGAAGGATTACAACTACCACGATTAACAATGAATTAATTAATATTGTAAGTATATGAAGTGGTGTGGGATTTAGATTTCTTCTAAACGTATTATTTTGTAGAATACTTATTCTTTTAATGTACAAATATGAACACTAGCTTTCTCGTATATTTGACTTTTACATGCATAAATATATATATATATTTTTAGTGTTACTATATAAAACCATTTAAAGCCGTTTAACTCCATCTAAACATCATCTAGAAACCATAGTTTCAATGGTTAGTTTCTTCAAAATATATCCACACCCAATCATCTCATTTCTCTCTCCCTCCTCGCCCAATCCCTTGCTTCCTTGGTTCTTGTGTAGACCTGGTGTCGTGCATGAGACCTGGTGTCCTTCTCTTTGGATCCTCAATAAATCACCTGCCACATGAGATTTTTATCTCTCTATTAATTGGTATGGACACCACCACAATACCTGCATTGGGAGTGCCCTTGAGTTCAAGGATTGATCTGGATAAAAATAGATCTACCGAGAGCTGGAACTGCCAAGGGATCAGGCTATCTCAGACGGTTCAATGCATAATAATAATAAATGTATAATCCAAGCTAGCATTCAGGATTGGTTCAAAAGATATCCGTAACCGTAACTGTGAGAGAAGGGGAGGATGGTGGCATAGGCACTGTTTTGGGTGAACATTCATTCAACTAGCTAGCGAGACACATTGATGTTGTACCGGTTGTACCGGTCCCTTAAAAGAAAAAACACAACAAATAAGCGAAAAGAAAATAACAACAAGATTGGAGCCGATGAGTCCTATACCTATTACTAATATAATCTGTATAAATTATTAATTTTCTGCAAACAACTCTCCATTCCAACAAGGTGTATATATGAAAGCCTGACCTATGGTATGATAATGATATCCGATGCGGCACTCTCCCAAATCCTGAATCTTTTGAGACATTAAAATAATATGCCACAACTCTTGAATCTGACAAACACAAGAAGAGAATCTCTTTATAAGGATGGAATCCAAATACGTCAATATACGCAGGGAAGCAGGATTTTCCACAACCCATGTCGTCATCAATGTCAAGAGCATTATCTTCATCAGAATTCCAATCCAAACCATCATCCACTGCTGGCCAAGGCTCTTTGTTGTTTTCATATTGTAAAATCCAAGGTCTATCAGTTCCATGATCATGTTTTGGAAAATATGATATCTGCATCAGGTTGGTGTCATGCTTCAATATCCACTCCGTCTTGCCACCCGATTCATTTAAAGAACCAAACCTGGAGGCGAAGTTGATCATCATCGACTAGAGCAAAATGTATCCTATTTTTTGACTTTCCAAGATAAACCTTATCATCTTTACTCATCTCGTTGGTACCGGCCGGCACATTAATTATTTTATACTTATTATTGAAAAAGGTTATTCTGCAATACAGAGACATTATTGTTTAATATATATATATATATATATATATATATATATATATATTGAGTTAGTAAAGCATGCATATCTCGAGTAGTATATTATATAGTAAAAGAGAGAGAGAGAGAGAAAATATACAAAAGAGAGTTTATATAAGGAACAAGTGGCTACATACCGCATAATAAAATCACCACTCCAATAGGTGTAGAGTGCTCACGCAGCATGCCAGTGTCCTGACCCAAAATGGGCAATAGTTGTTGCGGATCCTTCTTCACAGGCAAATGGCCTTTCCTCCCATTTTGTCGTGCTAGATGTGTACATGCCCATCATATATACCGATGGCGGCCATTCTGATCCCTCGGACGATAGCTTATCCCTGAAACGAAAAGGATCTTGCATCGCAAGTACCTCGTAGTAGTGTGGAGGAGATAAAGCTGTTGGGTCAAATGCTAGGTATTTCGAGTAGTAGCCGACCCAGGCCTCGTTTAGTTGTTCGGAATCGGCGCCACCGAAATCACTGTAGCATTTCGCTGGTATTTGGTAATAATTGTCCAATCGTTGACTAATTAGGCTCAAAACGTTCGTCTCGCAAAGTATAACCAAACTGTGCAATTAGTTTTTGATTTCGTCAACATTTAGTACTCCATGCATGTACCGCAAGTTTGATGTGACGGAGAATCTTCTTTTTGCATAGTGCCAAAGTTTGGATTTTGGTGAGAACTAAACATGCAATCCAGATTCTCTAACTCTGTGAACAAAAGTCACAGGTGACTTTCTTGCTGCCGGATGTCATTCATTTACAATCCAACGGTGGCTGCCCATCTCAGTTCTCTCACCGCAGGCCTGTCCAGCCCAAACATGAAACTAGCCCAAGTAAAGCCCACTTCATGGACAGGGGAGACATGCAGTTTACAGAGTTTCAGTATGCAGTCATTTTAGTGCAGAACTAAAATAGGATTCACTTGAATATTTTTAACAGTTCCATGCTAATAAATAACTTCCATCAATAATCACCACTACAGCATATAATTGTGTACAGTTAGCCAAAGAACTATCAAGGCTAAAAGAACCAAAATAATCTCCATTCATGCAATCCATTAGCACACAGGTGCTCAACAATCATCCCAAAAGACGGAAATGTTTCATATGTGATAGCAGCTACTAAATCAAAGATCTAAAAAAAGATCTTGAACGGCTGGGTCAGAGAATTCAGTACGACCCTGCAAAGGCAAATAAACAGTTAGAAAAGAGAAGAGAAATATTGAGAGGACTGTGGCAAGTGAAGCACATGATTGTGTTGAAGAATCAGATCAAGCACTTCATAATTCCCTGTCACTCGATCTAATGTAATACCCATACGAACTGGACAACATGTTCTTGTTTCAGCTCGAGGATTTTTTGTGACATGATCTCTCCTGTCTCGTGCTCGACAACCCTCCTTGGCGCACACATATCTACATGAAGTTACCCTTTTATCACATTTACTTTCATTTGTGTACCGTTTTCTGACCTCAAAACCTGCATGACCCCCATAATCTACCCAAAATGACCAAGCATCTTCCAAGTTTCTAAATTTCTGACTAATATAAGGTACCCAAATTGAAGTTGCATTCTCTCTGTATGAAAATAAATGCATGCTTATTATTGTTGCACATCTAGAAGTAAAAAAAGGGGATCGAATGTAAGCATATCTTACTTGTCGGGTTGCGCCATTGGATTTTAAGTAAAAGTTAAGGGCTCAAAGAACACTGCACAAACAATAAACGTGTACGAGTGAATTTTCAGACTTATGAACAAATAATAGTGAGATAGGGAATATTTTTTTGCTACCCATGGAGAAGCAGTATCACAGCAAGGAAGAGAAAGATGAGACCCCGATCATCACCCAGTTTACAACTCGCCGATAAGTGCGTCAGTCACCCTCTGCCAACCACAACACCATGCTCAGTCATGGCATGAGCATGCGCCACCTTCGCAGGACAACTTCGGACGACGACGACTCCGGCACAACCGGCGCGGCGAGTGGAAGAGACACGAGCGCGAGCACAACCAGGCGCGACGACTGCGATGGGCG